AACGTGTTTGAACTAGATCAGGCCCTACTTACAGAATAAAGCGGGCTGCTTTTTAAATTAAGTTTTCACAACAGAAGTAGGAACACCTTTTCAGATCAAAGCTCATTACATTTGACTTCAAAATCTTCGTAATCGGGTAAGGTGACTGAACCATGAGGTTAGCCTTACTTGGATAAGGAATCTTCTAAAGCTAACTCAACATTTTAAAAGTTCCTTCTGTCAAGCTTTGCATGTAATCACTTAACAAAGTTTAAATGTGTGCTTAAGTGTGAATAGTGACAGAAGAGACATGGTTTAAAATACACCATAAAACAGATACATTTTTACATGAGAGACATGTCCATTAGTGACAGACGTTTATTTCAGAATTAAAGCGTCTCAGCATACAGTGAACAGAAAATAAAACAAACTGTCATGTTGCTTAAGGAGATAAGTAGAAATACCTTACTGTCAAGCTTTAGCACGACTCTTCCAAGCCCTCTGATGGGCCGTGGAGCAAGAGCTTCCTGACGTTCCTTCACAAAATTTTCAACAAGTTGCCACCAACTTTTGCAATGGTTTGCCATGAAGTTCAAAACTCCAAAATGAACCACAAGTTTTTTAACTGCCCAAACTGGAACCACAAGAAGGAAATTAAATATTAGAGATTTCAGAGGAGTACCACAACACTACGCATCTATTCCACTCTGAAAGACCTACGAAAAAGAAAGATTGAGGTTTATTTTCCATTAGAAATCACTTTCAGAATTTTCAAGTGGTTTTAGTACTAATCTCCTCAACTTGCTTTACAGCCATGCTTATCCACATGGAATTTAGATGCCAGCAGAAGAAAGGTGCCTGTGCACTACCCAGTTATGCAGCTAAGAGCCTTGAGCAAGGCCTGGGATAAGCAGGTAACATTCCATGATTCCAGTGAATTTATCACATCTTCACATATACACCATGCCAGATGACTACACATAAAATACCACATTCAGAACTTAACAGTGTGATATATGTAAATTTTCAGCCCAAATTCTTACATTTTAGACCAAAAAAGAAGCAATTTGCTACCACAAACAGCTTTTCTCCAACACTCCTAACATGTATCGACTGGAAAATAAAGAGCTTCAACACTAGAAATGTCTAGCACTAGAGTTACAGAAATAAAAGCTCGTGTCCATTTACTTGCCATGAAATAAAGCCCAGAGACTTTCTCGTAAAGCTTACGGTTCCAATTCTGCCATGGCACTGCCCTCCCGCACTTCCTGAGTATACATACAAAACTTGTGAATCTTCACAATCAGGAATGTAAAAGCAAAAAAGCATGATGCGTACAAAACTTTCCTTGGAAGCTAACAGACCTTTAATAGTAATGAAATATTTGTGATACTTTTTTTTCATTCAACCAAATGTTACATCACTCGAATTATTTATCTTTTCACCACTGAAAAGAAGAAAAGAGAGTAAATTTGCTAGTGGCTTTGGAAGATTAACATCAGAACAGAGGAGTTAATTAATTCACATTATAAACAAAGATTTGTATTACAACTAATTTTAGTATTGATGCAAACATACCAGTCACAAAAACATCATTACAAGATACATCGATTTAAAGGATTGTAATTATTTTATGTAGCAGTAACAAACAGAAAGGTCTTATAATCCAGTCCTGCCAAGAACTACTGATACACAAACCTCCAACAAAATTCTGCTGCATCCCCAAATACTGAAAACTATGGTTCTGAAGGAAAACAAAGTGAAACTATTAGCAAGAGGATCACATAATTCTCCTAATTTATCCCTAGTTTTTTTAAAAAAACAGAATTTAGTAACTGAATGTCACACATAGATCAAAAATTAGCTGGTGCTAGAAATTCTACTTACACAGTAAAATAACTTTATGTGAAAATGCTGGCAGTGCTCTTCCAATTATTTAATACTTATTGCAACATTTGATACTGACATCCCTATCACTACATTCAAGTGTACTTTTAATAAAGTTGGTTTTTTTTTTTATTAAGAAACACTATTTTCCAAACTGGATTCATTATTTACTGTCATACATCAACACCACAGTAATTCCCTCATCCTCAAAAATTTACTTCTTTGTCTACTTGAAGACGTGTAAAACGACATACATAGCCAAAGAGGTTAACTTCTAATATCCACAGGGCATTTATCAAAGTTCCACGAGAGCCTATAACCTGTATAGTTTAGGTTCCTGTTCACGGAGAGCTCCTCCAACAATTTGCCAACAGTTGGTTTACTTACCCTCTGGTACCACCTTGTGGCAAACATGGGATTTATTCTCCAGAAGAATAATAATCTTTCCCAGTAAAGATCATGTGGCAAACATACAAAAAAAAAGGAGAAAATACACTGCAAGTGCCACCACCTAACTTAGAGGCTGAAGTTTTAGATGATGAAGTGCAACTCATGGTAAGTACACAAACTGCTTCTCAGCAAAACACGTCAAACCTGCATTTTCCAAGGTGAACCACATACCTGAACTGGCATACTAACCTTTTGCTATTATTTAAAAACAAGTGCTTAAATAGTGTCTTCTAAAATAATTGAGTGTACACTCATTGCAGAGGTGATGTCAGGAGGTGCTACAGTCAATAACACAGTTGTAATTATATTAGGTTAAAAAAGAGACAAGAGAGAAAAGTCTAAAGGAACACTGTTATTAGAAAGTTGTGAGCAAAAGAAGAGAAATGCTGCATAGTAAGAAATTCCACACATTTCCACGAAGCAGAAAACAACCTGAAGACAAAAACAGAATTAAAAAAGATGCAACTGAACAAGCAAGGAAGTAAATGAAAGATCTTAAAAAGAGACAATAGAGGATTCCCAGGCCCACCTCACTGAACAAAATGCTACAAGTGTTCACAACCTGGTTTATTGCTTAGCTTTTGAATTCAAATGCCATTTTTTAACCTTCTCATTTTATAATCACGGTATAATTTTTCCAACCTCTACATTAAGAAATTGTAAAAGAGCATCTCATTCTACAGAAATACAAATGCATTCAAGGAAAAGCATTAGTGGTACCAAGGTATTTGTAATAATCTATATACTTCATGTAAGTCCTGTCTACCAACATAAGGAACTCTGGTGAAATTAACACCTTTCCGTGTAAGTTTTTTGGTGGTTATTTTATTTTAATATTTTATATACTGGAAGCATTCTCCTTAAGGTTTCAGACCTGCTTAAAGTTTTTAGTCTCCTTAAACTTGCTTTATAAGCCTTCCCATTTTCCACTACTAAGTATTTTTAACATCATCTCTCTTTTAACAATCCAGGTTACCACCACTCACCTTCTGACGCTTAATTTGATCCACTGTTCTAAACTTGTCTCTGTTAATTTTAATATTGCCTTTTCATAATATTTTTGTAGTGTTCTATGTTCAGTTATATGACATGAAAAAGCACTTAATGGCGCAGTGTCATTGCTGAGGCAAGAAGTCACAAATACTCTCAAAATTAACTCCTATTTTGGCTTGAGTTTATTGTTCAGGTAGCTATTTTAGACCTAATGACTGGCAGCAGCAGTATTCATCCATTTCAGTTATAGATGTGCACATCAACCTAGATTTGCCTGGTTCAAGCTTAAGACGCTTCATTGTTGTTTGCCTAGCTACAAAATCATTGCATCCATTTCCCCTCCCACCCCAGTGGTTAAGTCACTCCTTGACTTTTTAATAAATTAAGCCACATAAGCTCTGCTTCTAGTAAGTCTAAAATTTACTTTGTAATCCCTTTATCATTTTTATGATTTATAAGCTACATCAAACCTGCCGTTGCCATTTCCAATAATGCCCAGGCACCAAAACTGGGCAGCTACGCTGCCTGTAGCAGCTACGCTGAAATAAAATCAACCCCCTCCCTCCTCTTACCCTGTATTCAGCTATTTATACGCCCGACCATCGTACTACCCTTTAGCTGCTGCTACAGCACCACAGCCAAACGTGCAGCTCTTCCTTTCACCATGCCTATCATTCACCATGCCTCTCGGAGTTCGCAGCCCCTGGCACCTGTAAGCATGGCCCCACAGTTACGTTTTCCAGATAAATTGCAAGGTTTTGGTAGCAGTGTGGCCACCGGGGTGGCCTCCACGGGCAGAGACCAGGGGCTGCCCTGAGCCAGATACAGTTGGTTCCAGCTGGCTCCACAACGGACTCACCACTGGCCAAAGCTGAGCCCATCAGGCACAGGTGTGCTGCCTCCCTGAAAAATATATTTCAGAAAGGGCAGAAAACACTAGAGAGGGAAAAAAAGGCGGGAACACAGAGAGAATAAGTGAACAGAGAGGAAGAAGGAGCAGAGGGATGAAGAGAGGGAATAGAAGGGCCAAGGGAGTAGAAGTGCTCCATGGTGGAGCAGGCACACGACTCAGAAAGACCATGGCCTGGTAAAGGACCCACACCAGAGCAGGTACACCTCCTGAAGGGACTGTGGCCCAGGGACAAGGAGGCACTTGAGCTGGTACCTCCGAAAAGGGACTGCAGATCATGGATGAGCCCACACTGGAAGGCAAGAAAAGAGTGATTGGCTCTGTGGGTCCTTGGCCACTAGCTGGGGCCAAACCACCACACTTGGTAAAAGGGAAAATAGCTACTTTTAAGTGTTAAATACATTTTAAAATGCTGAAAATTAGCATTTTAAATGAAGTTTAGAGAAAATCCAAACAAATCAGGAAACCCACTTTGTTTACTGTAAGGGAATGAGAGGAAATGCCTTCAGATTCATAGTAGCTTGTGTATATTTCCAGAGTTCCCATCTGCCCTATTCACCCCCCTCGAAAGAGTATTCCAAAGAGTGGCATTCAGTTTTAAAATATCCTCTTTAGATAGCTACCATAAATATTCCGTTCCTGCTTGATATATAAGAGAACGGATGCATGTAGATGTGAAGCAACAAAGCTAATTAACCTCAGAGCTAGAACTGGAATCAAATTTATCTTGTGATTTGTCCACAGAGCCTAGCAACCCATTTTTAATGAAAATTCAAAGTTATGAGCTACACTTCACTGATATGTAACAGGTGAAATCTTTATCTATAGGTGTAAAAACATGAAAGCCATGACATCAAGGGAAGGAAAACAAAGTACTCTAAACCAGAAGTATTCTTACAATGTAAGGTATGACACTAAATTATTTCAGGTAACTACAACGGTCAGACAAAGCAATTTTACAGAGTTGTCCACTACACAATAAGAGACAATGCACATCAATTTTCCTATATGAAGCTACAATACATCTTGTCTTAACAAAAAGTCTTGAAAAAGTTCTAAATTCAACTCATACAAGCCTTTCCTTCTGTTTTATTTAGCACAAAGCCTAAGGCTATCCAAAGTCATAATTTAATGTACGTTTCTAATAATTGGATGATTACCTGCAAAAGGCACCGGCAACAGCTGCACAATCCAGAAATTTAGCCAGATCTGGACAATGACAATGGCCCACACAAGTGTAACGAAGTAAATATCACTAGTTTTCTTTTTTCTAAGAAAAGATCCAATCTCAGGTCTTTGTCTGCTTCCAGAAGAGGATGAAGAAGATGAGAAAGATGATGAAGCATGTGGAGGCTGATCACCTTCTGTTGCTCCTAAAACAAACAAATGCAAACAGAAAAATGGAAATTATCACATTAATGTTCACCATGGAACAGAATATGCTCCCTAGTCCCAAATTAACCTTTGTTTTGGTTGGGGGTTTTTGTGTGTTTTTTTTGTTTGTTTGTTATTTCTCTAAAAGACAGAGACAGCCTTTACACTGATCTGAATTTTGAAAAGCTACAACAGGGCTGCGTAAGCTTTCCCACATCATGCAACATTGTGCCAAGCAGTGCTGGTAGCAGGAAAGAAGAAAAGATGTTACAGCCTCTAAGAGGCCTTCTGTCACTGCAGGTAAATTACAAGCCAAACGTATTTTCTCAAAGACCTGTAAAATTCTGAAAAACAAAGTGTAATTCACTCCTAAAAGAAATCTGAAGTCCTAAAAGAGATCTTTGATTTCTCTTTACCTCAAGTACTCAAAAAGAAATCTTAGATTTGCTCAAAGCTCATTTGAACAAAATGAAACAATACAGCATACATTGAAGAGAAAGCTCGTATCTTACAAATTTCTCACTAACCTTTTTCTTTTCCTGAACATTCACATTATAAACATAGCACTCACACTGTGATTCTAAATTACTTGTTTGTGTAACATACTTTAGTAACAACAGCAAACATAAATTAGTGGGTAACAAATGTTGTCATTCTCTCATTTGTACATTAGTAAACATGAAATTAAATTCAAAAATATGAACCAATGTGTTAAAAGCACTTATAAATAAACAGTAAATAATCATTTCAGGCAAAAATATCATGTCCTAATTAAAACTCTTGTCTAGAGAACATATTAATGCATTTATTTAACTTTTTTAGTTGGTAAATCTGCCTAGTATGTGTGACATCAAATCCATCTTCAGTCACTGTATGGAGAATCTCTCCCTGAGAACACCAGTATTAACTCTTATTGAGGCCTCATGCTGGTGGCAAAATGCATACTTCCCACACACCATTACCTGAGAAAAACCTTGTAGCCAGGCTGGAAGAACACACACTCAAGAAAATCTGAAAAGTTACTCTATGCTGAAGAATAAAAGGCAACTTATTATGTTGGTGCATACTGCAGCAGGTAAGCAATGAACACAGCTCTTACTGGACCTGTCACATCAACACCAACCACTTCCCTCCCACCAAGAAAAACTGCTGTAAAAACTGTATTACAATATACCACATGCCTGTACCGGTCAAACACCTCATGTTGTTTCACACATGCAGTTTTAGCTGCAATGTGTCACTTAAGCGATTCCTAGCCCAAAGCATGACAGCTAGAAGGTATAAAAAGACAAGACAAATTTGTCATACGTGTACAGTAGTGGTAAGTGACAAACTCTGCAGCCTCACACAACAGATGAACGCTCTTCTGTTGTAGAAATCTGCACTGGTGTTCTACAAGTAAGGGGAACTACTTTTAGAGCTTATAAACACTTCCCCATCACACTAATACAGTAATGCAGATCCACTGATTCATCCAATTAATAGACACTGGGATGATGACAGAAATATCAGCTGGTTGCTCATAACACACTTGGTGGAACTTCAGAATATTCCCAAAGGAATTATGGCATGCAACCTGAAAGAAGGAAATCTGCATGGAGCTCAACACAGCAGAAGCTTCAGGTGGAGTGCTTCTTGGCAAATCAGCTCATGTCTCAAAGGGATGAAGGCCAGCCCTATCATAAAAACTACACTTTGGAGAAGAAGACATGAGTAAATTTTTCATAACGGGAAAGTTACCCATAAACAGAAGTTTTCCTAAAAAAAAAAAGTGGTTTTGTCATAAGAAATAGAGGGTCTATCATTCCCCCGTACTTCTCAGTCTATTTTTAATGAAGCAGAAGAGTACAAATTGAAACAAATGGATCCAGCTTACAATGCACTACAGGAACACAAATTTGAAAGCAGTTTATCCATAATTGAGAATTCTCCCCTATCAATTCAACTTACTCAACACTTTTCTTCCTACCTTTTTGCTCAAAAATTAATATAATAAGAAGTAACATGACAACAAGCAGAAACTCAAATATTTAACAAAGAGAAGGAAGAGCTAAACTCCAAAATAGAAAAAATGAAGAAATTTAATATGCTGAAGTCAATGCCTCAAGATTAAAGTTATCAAAAACTTTTGCCTCAAAAACCCTTAGTAAGAGTCTTTTATGAAAGAAAAAAAGAATATTCCTTCTTTTGGTAATGAAAAATTTGATCAACATATTTTTGCAATGAAGAAAATCTTAATTAAGTAACAGCAAGAGTAATGTTAAGACCAGTATCAATTAAACAGCCTCATTCTCTTGCCATTTCTCTACTAACGAGCAGACAGATGTGCAAAACACAGAAGGGAAAGAGTGAATGGGGGAAAAAAAGTATTAAAAAAGAAAAAAAAAAGGGAAAAAAAAGACAAAAGATCAAAAGGAGAAAAAAGACCAAGAAAAAAAAAAAAAAAAAAGACTAAAAACTCCTAGGGGATCTAAAGACAAGAAAGCTTTTTCAGAACGCAGTTCCACAACACTTTAGGCAAAACTAAACTGGCACTGCCAATGACCCAGTATTCTCCCAATGACAAATACAGACTCCTTCACATCAGAACTACCATTCAGATGACTGTATCATAAGTCCGTTCACAAAAGTCGATCCTCCCAAAAATCCCACCAAACTTTGCAAATGAAAAAAGTCACATTTTGTTGTCAAGATATGCTCTGCAAACCAAGGCACGAGTGCCTTGTCAACACATACAGGAAAAAAGAACTATCAGAATATTGATTGTGATTAACTTCAGGGTCTGTAAAACCCCATTTTGTGTGCTTCATGCTATTTTTAGAGATGAGACCTGAAAAACAGCCTTCTATCGTCTAACTACTAATCAAAGTATGACAGTGTTTCCCAAATGGCTAATATAGTACCCAGTAAAGGATTCTAGCAAAATCAGAATGCATGGTACTTATTTGAATATAGTAAAAAGAACAACAACAAAAAAATCAATTTTCCAGGCTGTCTTAAGTCACGTTCTTTTCTTTACACAACTGTTGTCTGTCAGGTCAGCTTCTAGCGAGCATAACATATTGAATTATTCTCCTCCCCTTTCCTTAAATAAAAAGAAAATGAACAGCAGCATAAACAGGTGGGCAAATGTCTGTATGTCTATGGAGCACAGTCAGTATCAGAAAGAAATCTTCAGAGTTAGATGAAACAGTGATTTTATTATTATTAATGAAAAATTATTTCAGGAAAACAGGATGAAGGTATCCCTTCATGAATAACCACATCTTTCAGTAAATTTCAGAGATTTTTTTTTTTTGAGAAAACCAAAAAGTGCAGGGTGAAAAGGAGGGTAAGAGTCATGTCGACAATGAAGGAATTCAGTGTCTGTCATATTCAAAGCCAACAAGACAATCGAATCCTGCCTACAAGGCAGCTAACAAAACGCTGCAGTGGTATCTGCTTCTTAAGTTGTGGCTGTATACTCTGGACATTCTTGGGACACCTAAAAGGACAAGCCAGACCACCTGCACTGGTATCATTAAACTCCTCACCCCCAACACTAAACACCAGTATTCAACAACAAATTAAGGAAAAACATGAGTGTTCAGAAAAACCTATAAAATCAATACAGCTTACATCTCCTGTTTTTTTCATGAACAAATGTAAGCATAAGGAGAACAGTAAAAACACGAAGCATTGATTGTTCTATAATTAAATACAGCACAAGCATTATTATTGCTACTGAGAGTTAATCAACCCTGACAACCACTGACATGTTTAGAATAGATATAAGGAAGATCTCCCAAACTCATCTATCCACCAGGCTGAAGGTGTGGAAACTATCAAAATCTTTCACTTCTCATAAAACACGTTTGTTGCATTACAAGTTCCAAAGCAAGATAACAAAACATCTAAAAGTCACTTGCAAAGGAAAACCAGAAGAGTTGTAGTTCCTTAAACCTGTAAGTAAAACCTTTTGCTGTAAAGAATAATGTTTCATCACCACTCACAGAGACGATCCCAACCAAAGATGACCAAAAGGATGCTTAACATGTCTCTGAATAGAATGCCAATTCCCAACAAATTGTTGGAAAATTATTTGAACTATTGTTAGAAGCAAACAGGAAACTCCATATTTGTTCTTTTCCTGCTGTGAAGGAAAACAACAACAGAACGTGTAAGATGAGAAACACCTAGTTACCTGTCTCAAGAAAATAAGTAAAAAAACATTCACTAAAAGACACCTTTGTTAAACCGCTGCAGTTTTTTTTTTTTGGCCAAGAGAGGTTACAAGTTGAAAACAGGAAAAAAAAAAAATTATCTTAATGTAGAGGAAAAAAAATTAAAACTGATAAGTCTAAAGAAAAAAACACACCAAAAAATGCAAAAAAAACCAAAAAAGAACAAAGAACACAAGCACTTACACAGCACATTTTTGAGAGAGTATTGCTTGACCAAATGTTCAAAATCCAGCTAAAAAAAAGAAACAGCTCATTTCCAAAATTGAAGGTTAGAGTCAGCAGTATAAGAGAACTGTGAACTGTCACCATGATGCTCTGTTCTCAAATTTTGGGACATATATCCATAGGGTTCTACATTTATTTTGATGATAGCCATGTAAAAATGTAAAACCAAAGATAAGTCAAGAATAAGGTGTCAAGTTGCCCTTTTTATATTTAAAAATTAAGAGCGTTTTCAACTACAGCTTACACTGACATATTTAAAATCAGGAAGTGTGCTTACTTTTCACCATAAGATTTCTGAAGAGCTTGTTCTACACTGTTTCAGCTGGTGGCTGAAGTAACTTTTTAGTTTCACAAATGGTAGCCTTTAGACAGAAGTTTTTAAAGCCACATGCTCAAAGCATTCTCTCCTGCACAATCACTATGTTTCCTCCTCTGGAGCACATTTTACACATTACAGACAATATTAAGAACATACTGTCTTGAAGCAGATGACTCTAAGACACAGCCAATTTCAAACTGAAGTTCTGGAAGTTCACATTCTGTCAAGTTGAATGACCTGTTTTGTCTACTTGTGGGAAATGGATGGAACTGTTCAATCTCCATAGGCCTCCACAATAGCTTATTTTTCCAGTACTGCATTCCATCAAAGGCCTATCCAGAAAAATGATGGTAAGGGTCAAAAACCAGTGATGGACATCTAAACACCTTTGCAACTTTTTCAAGCCATTTCTTACAGATTTCTAGTTGTGTTATTGCAAGTGAAAGTATCACGACTCGAGCTACAATGCCAAGTAAACTCACTATAGGAAAGACTTTGACCATGCCATAGGACAGAGGACAAAGGTTTTTTATCACAGTGATGTAGACAAAAATTATTCCAGTCCATCTGCACCTGGTCCAGAAATCCATTTATATCTTGTAACTGCCAATAAATCAAAAGAAGCCTAGGGAAAATTTAAAAAATTAGTAATAAATAATATGAAAAAAACCCCCATGCCCTCATACAAAAAAAAAAAAACCACCCTTCTAGTCAAGCCTTCTAAGTGTACAGCCAGCAATGTAAACTATCACTTGCAAGATAGCTTTTATATTTTTGTTGTCCTAACATTTTTAAAAAACAAATAATTCTGTTTCACATGGTAAGTATGAACGTGCTATTTTGAACTGAATAAAAAGGACAGGAACTATTCTGAAATTTGTTCTCAATTCCCTCCAATTTCATGCCTTTAGAGCAAATTCAAATGTTTCTTACAGAGTATTCAGTCACCTGAGGGTTGTGAGGAACGTTCATTATTGGACTCATCTTCTGTCATTGAAATTGCCATGGCAATTGTCGAAGCTGCAATGGAAATCATCTGACCAGGAAGCTCTGCCCCTGTAAAATACGTATGTGTATGTAAGTAAAGAATATTTAGAATGTTTTATTTGTTTGCTGATACTCACCAAAGCTGTCAAGCAACAGAAATTATATGGGTAGGCACTGTTAATTTCTAGTAGGTATTGTATGTAGTCAACACAATCAAACAGAATGAGTGCTACTAATTTTAGTATTACAATACACCTGGAGCCAAAACCACAAAGCTACCTATTTGCTTAGCACTATCCTTGCTAATGAACTGCTACCAACCAAGTAATTTGCAGTTGCTGGCAGTCTGATGAATCTAAAACTCTTTATACCAAATAATCAATTTTACTATTCAGTGACAACTTTTAAGAAACATAAAACAGTGTGACAGGAAAAAAGTTTCCCAAAAATAATCATACAGCTAGTACCAGGAAAGGCACACCTGACATTTGCTTTTATGCAAAATTGACTTAAAATAGGCAAATCCTATTTTTCTGAAAGCCTAAACTCAAACCATAGTTTTAGGAAACTGGTATTTTAAAAACAAATGACTGGATATAAGAAATTTGCTGGATGGAGTTGTCTCAGTTTATCTCATACTCAATATTAGAGGAGCTACTAAGCCCATATTGCTTATTTCTTTCAAAATTAACCTCTTATTTCAAATTTCCTGGGCCTTCTTCGGGCTTGATAATGAGAGTCACTACTTTGCTATGGAAAAGAAACATCAGTCCAGTGTAATGATTTTCTGTAAAGAATCAGAGATTCAGTTCAGCATGAGCAAACCACTTTGAAACAAACATACTAAAAATCTATTAGTAAATTCTTGCAATCCGTACGGTATTGATTCTACAGTAATATGATCCAGATTCTTTCACTTGACTTTACAGAACTTTTGCCTTCAACAATAAAAGAAATAGTGACTCATTCCTCACCAGAAGACTCCTTTCCATTCTGCTGTTCATGCAACATGCCTACGGTCATCAGAACAACTACAACCAGAAACACGGGAATTCTCCAGGAACCTGCCACAGAAGCTGAAAGATACAGGGTTTTTTTTTTCACAAGAAAAATGACACCATTAATAAACTCCACATTTAGCAAAACCAAGAAAGGCACCACATCAGCCAAGAACAATCTGGGCAGAAACTAGTAAGTGTCATAAAGCAAACAAGTTTTCTTCTATTCTTCCCTTCTGTGAATGTAAACACAGGTGAACAAGTTTCTCAATTAATAAACCAAGTTGTTACTGTTCCTAACTTCAGTGACTTTATGCTGATAGAACAATTATTAAAAACAACATGCAAAATTACATTACAATACACACAGAATAAAAGCATTTTAGATACCAGAGGCAAATGAAGTCCCCTCCTCTCCCCAAAATCTGTATTTATGTTACATCTCCACAGAGTGGCATCAAGAAGTGCCTTCTCGGGGTTTGGCTTCTCAGCTAGTACTTCCAGCATATACAAGACTGATAAAATGCAATCAAATGCAAAGCGATTATGTGTATCTTTAAAACCTCAGGGAAGTGTCCCCATGTGGTCAGAACAATCCTTGAAACCCACAGCTAAAGCAACGTATATAATGAAGTTTGCTGTGAAACATTCCATCAGTACAGTCTTCTGCTACTTGCATGATACTTCCACCATAAATTCTGATATGCTAATACAAGCTGATAATCTGTTATATTAAGTATGTAATATAAATCTAATACTAATAGATTACTATATTCTTATATTTGTATTAACAGATTACATAGATTACTGGCAAATTTATCTGATATTGTTGATACCGTAACATTTTTTTTGTTTCTAAGACTACTACTACATTCATTTTACAGCTTCGGCCTTGGTTAATAACAGGCTCTCAATAAAATAATAATATTAAAAATCACCACAAGTGGAAGTCTAAATCCACCCACATGTGACCCCAGGCCTTCCTCACTGTCAAGGAATAAGTACGAGGTCCGCGAGCCAAATAAGGGAAAACCATGGGAAGTACAAACCGGGCAGGAGGAGTGGAAGACACATGTTGCTCAGCATCTTGATGCTTTCCCACTCCCTACTCCAATGCTTCCTGCTGGCCACATGCAGCTAGAATTACTGAGCAGAGAAAACAGCCTACACTCCAGCTAAGACTCCATTGCAAAGATTTAGAGGAAAAGCAAGCGAGTAGCTTTGTTTGCAAGACAACAGAATCCCCGCAGACACATTAGAATAATAAATCCTTGTTACTCACCTAAATGAAAGAGCAGCATAATCCAGACAGGGACAGAGATTGCTTTTAAGTAACGTTCAGTGCTTATATTCCACTTGAATGAAACCATCAACAGGTAACCAACCACCAACGTCCAGATCTTTAAGAAAAAGATACACACAGGTATGTATACATACACAAGTACAATACAGCTATATTTTGATGTGCATGTATGCACACATATGCATGTACCCTTAACTGCCATATCAAGAGAACTGAAGCCAGGTTCTAATTCTTTAAGAAGCCTACATTTCAGCACTTTCAGTTAATTACAGGAGGTTTTGCTCCATGTAAGAGCAATGTAAAGTTTATGCAAACTGTAAGGGCAGGCTAGACGTGCCTTTGGTCTGCCCTCAGTATGGTCCTAATGGCAGGGCTTATATGTGCCTTGCTGAACACAAACCCTGAAGGTCTTGATGGTTTTGCACATGAGACCAAGCAATTATTCTGTAATTACTACTGAAAGGTGAGAACCTAACTGAAACGGGGCCACAGGGAGACAGAGCCAGCAGAGCACCATTCCTTCCAGCACAGAGCAGCTTGCCAGCTCCTGTGTTCCAGATCAAAGAAATAAAGGAGGGTTTTAAGCCAAATACAGCCATTAAGAAGCACAGCAAAAACTGCTGTTCCTCAACAGTGCTGGTCCACAAAACTGTCATGCCTTTAAATGACTCGTGACACGTAATTTTATCAAATATTTAACTAAAAACAGGACTGTCGTGTTTTGAGCCTGATCAGCAGCCACAGAAAGCCACCCCTATAGCCCCCTCCCCTGCTACCAAAAAACCCCACCACTCACTCAAACCCAGGACAAGTACAGACAGAAAAAAGCCCGTGACAATGTATCAAGAGACACATGTGGGCATTTTAGTTTTGCTGCTTTTAACTACCTTCTACAACTCTGCTCATCAGATAAATCACAATACAGAATGCTAATTAAGAATCTTGAGATGAAGAATTTATGCTTGAAAATGCTGAAAAGATCAGAAATCAGAAGAGGAAACAGAAGGTGAAAAGCTGCCACTCAACAGAAGATGTGAAATAAAAAGTATGAAAATCTATAAAAATAAAAACTCAGTGTCGCATTCTTAATGAAAAAAAAAAAAAAAAAGATATTTCTGACCCAAATGCAACAAACATTCCCTATCCAAAACCAGCTAGTGACACCTTCAAATTTACACTTATAAATCCATAAATCCCAATGAAGTTTAAATAGAATTTCTATTAACAGTATTTACTGAATCAGACGTCTTGGTAAGAAGAAAGCACTGGCAGAGACACAGAACAAGCAATCGGACAGAACGCATCACAAGAGCTTTCACCTCTTTCCTTTGCACTATATGACTCACACTGAAGAGGCAACTGTCCCTGTGAAAAGCAGATCTGTGTGACTACTCTCACGTACCTAACTGGTGTAGAGAAAATTTTAATTGTACTGAATACAGCAGACAAACAGTGATGGACCCTGTTAACTTCAGAGGGAACGCTCACACACACAAGGTAAGTTAAAAGTGCTCAAGAAATGTGAAGAAATGTTTTCATATTGATCTTTCTCATCAAAGCTCATCAGTCCAACTTTTCACTGCTATCTATAGCTTTGGATCAGAGCTGTGCAACGCTATGGCCAAATGTGGACTCAAGACAAATGGCTAAAACTAGCACAACTGTTAGACATCAAGGCTAAAGTCATAAACAAATCCCCCCCCCAAATTTCATCTGAAATACGCGGCAGCACTCCTTTAACAACACAGATTCACAACAAATTCACTCACAAGGTATATTACAGCACAACTGTAATTGCAAGAGATAGCCCAGCATGAAGATACTCCCTAACATCAAACACACAGCATCTTTGCATGATAAATGTTCTAGCATCATGCCATTTTTTCTCTTAAGCTGTTAAATTTAATGATAAATTACAAATAGGAAACTCAGTAAATTCAATAAATTAAACTTCCTGATTAAAAATATGCCAAAAGTAGGAGGGCTAACAGGGCATAAGTCTATGTTTAACAGCCAACAAAGCGAAACATGTTGCACTGCTTTTAGCCATCCGTGTAGCTGACTAGCTAGCTAGCAATTCAGGGTTTAGGTATTCAAAAATGTTGTAGGTTACAATAATTCATCAATTCTCATTTATAAGAGCTTAGCAAATGATCCAAGTAAAATTATTCCTTATTTCTATTGAATAAAAAGAAATAGCTAATTTTAAAACAAACAAGTCATCTTGTTTCAGAGATCAAACAATAACAATACTGAAGCCCTGTAAAAAACCTGTGTAGTCAACTGACTGGTCCAAGAGTTTTCATTTCAGTGACACCATAGAGTAATCAGTTCTTTAACGATTAACGTTATGGCCAAGCAGTTCCCTACGCTGCAAGAAATATACTGCATGGGAACCAGGGTAGCCTACTTCCAACAATTCACAGCTGAAAGCAACTGACAAAGCAAATTAACTTAAATTGGCATGGACTAGGATTTCATCCCATACTAACTTGGCAACAGCCTACCTTTTTTTTTTTTTTCCTCCTCTTAACCCTTTAAAACTATGTTATATAACTTTTCCCAGTTTTCCTGACAAAGGTTTTGGCTACAAGAGTGTGAGAATATTAATAGCCTCTTTACTATTACATGTCCAGCTCATCAACTCACATCATGGAAATGGAGAATAAAAGTTACTGTCTACATTCATTCAAATTAAGATACTGTAATTATTGCACTGAAACTAGAATGGATAGAAATTCCATACTAAAGCAAAATGCCTGTAAGTTCGATTTATAGGAATGTACAGCTAACCAGGTAACTAATGCACACACTTCAAATACTGAAGAATGGATTAGCTACCATAAACTATCTATTTATCAAGCTGAAATCAGTTGCAGATGCCTAACTTTCACCATGTACTGATATTTTAAATGCCTATTCAGTCACAATTAGTATTTACAGACATGCACAACACCCATATATCCCAATTTTAGTATGGTTTAAACCTGTAAGCTTTCCTTCTTCTTTCCCTCACTTATCTTCACTGTCTGAACAGACAGCAAAGACCTTATTTCTCACACCTCCTCTGCATTTTGTAGCACCCCTCAAAAATTGAACAAAATGTTGTTTTGCCTTTAGACATGCGTCCCTAAATAAATAGCTGTAAGACTGCAGTGTAGCTTCTTAGATTTCAGCATCCACTTCTGGGTTACAGTAGTAAATTTAAAAGGCCAATTTAGACATGTCTAGGCAAGCCTGAAGGGCTTCAGTTCTCTTCAAATTGCCAACTGGAGGCAAAATTACACCATAGAAAGATGCAGCTTTTATGCTAAGCTCAGGCATCTGCTTCACTGTTTTGATTTCTCTTTTAAATTTCAGTGCTGGAAAGTCTAGGATTTATCAGCATGATCGTATCACCAATGTTACTGAAAGTCTGTTTCCAGCCCCTGTTAAAGTTGAGAGAATTTGAAAATCCAAGAGACTCTTCTGGCCTTAGCATCATTTTTCAAGAACAAATTCTTTCTTACTCAAGTCATGACAACATTTATATTGATTTATAGTGAAGAGTATAATTCTTTATTTACACAGTTCACTCCCTTTTTTTTTCCTAGCAGCAAGTTAACCTCCGAGGGAGAGGTTTTACAGATGAGCTCATTTAACAGCTCACTGCTACTGAAAGTGGCAGTTCATTCTCTCTCACTGCCAGTCAGCCAGTCCCACTTCTGCACACCAGCTTCAACGTTCAGCCAGCCAGCTCAACCTCCCTAAGCTGATTAAAAACCATCCGGAAAAAAAAAAAACAAGAGTTCACAATCTAATTCAGTTATAGCTAAACAGGCTATATCACAGAGATAAGACAGGCACTGACAACAGGGCAACTGAAGCGTGTATCAGAAGTGGGAGAAGCAAGAACAGCTCCTCACTGGTAGCAAAGCTGCCCAACCACTCGGTCTTCCTTGGGATGCTGCCCCAACAACTCCACATCCAGCAGCCAACACATTTCCCACCTGCTTTGTGTAAACCACCCCATGGTAAAACACAACAGTGAAGACTGACTAGAATAACCATTACTTCTTTTGATGTATATCCTGACAATCTTCCAAAAGTTTCCAGTTCTTAACAGGTCAGGACCTACCAAATGGTGTTTCAACTCTTCATTTTCTAGTTGTAGCTCTACCCCTCTCCCTTTGCCATTTCAAAGTGTTGGCTTTTTCCAGGCTGCTCTTTTCCCCTATGGAAATCATATGGCAATGTTTTTACAGTTTGGTTCGTTTTTTTAAAATTGAGATACTTAAAGCTGTTTGATGAAACTATGGATCCAAATCAAACTATTTTCCAGTTTGTGTCAGGGTTGTGATAAAAAAAAAAAAAAAAGTCCTAACTCACCACTTCTCTTTAACATTTAAATATAAAATTTTCTTTTGGAAACAGAGATTTTTATTAGTTTTTCTTAAAGCAGGAAATCCTTAAAAACATTGACCAAACATTCACATAGCACTTTTGCAAACTTTTAAAACAGTGCTGCACTAAGTGAAGCTGATTGAAGAAGTTATTTTTTAACAGCAGTTCGTTATTTCTCTTCCTCCTCAGTGGCAATGCAGACTGGTGAACGAAAATGAACCTACCACAAAAGCTGAGCAGAAGAGCATTGGACTTGAAAAATTAAGCGACACAAGGCATTAAATGCATCACTAAAAGCCAAACTGTGTTTGCCACTATGAATATCACAGTGTTTTTCTGTCTGTTCATTTGAACCTGGTTTTCTAAACAAAAAAAAAGGTGAAGTGGCAGGTGGGGCATTATGAAAATGTCATTTTGATTCCAGTTTTCAGAACCAAAATTATTTCCATGTACCTTTACTGTATATTCCGCAGTACACAAGAGGAAATACCCCACAAAGTGCAGAGTTTAGCAGAATGAAGAAAATACAACTGCCCTCCATTTAGCATGGAGAATCTTTGTCAAACAGACACAAAACCAACTAATCACACATATAATACTACTGCCCACCTCAAAGCAAACTCAACCACCTCTTCCCTTCACTAAGGAAGCTGTCTTTACCTAAGCAGGTAAATGACACCCTGATTTTTTTTCCTAAGTAAGCATAAACCTGAC